GGACAAATATGGTTGTAAACACGGAGATAAAACTAAAAATACAAATTTGAACAGCTTGTTGGAAATCCACGTCTGTGTTTCCTGTGTTAAGGCACTCTAGTGAACCTTATGACCACTCGAATTATCTCCCTTTTAATCTTTTACCTCCTTTTGGCAAAGTACTAGATGCTCTAATCAACGGATTGGCTAAGCATCTCACTTCACACGGTCTTCTTTCGAATAAACAATATGGCTTCCATTTCCCCAGGTCTGTTGGCGTTGTGTTAAAGGCTATTACTAAATGTGTCTATCAGACTTTAGCTAAGAACTACGAAGTGTGGACTGACCTTCTCTACAAGCTCAAGGGATACGATTTTACGGGACGAATGTTTGGCTTAATCCAATCGTTCCTAACCAATCGAGTAATAAAGGTCATGTTGAACGGATATGCTTCTAGATCATTTCACATTAAGGACCTATTTGGCCTTACAGAATCATGGCTGATGCTAAACTCCAGGAAAGCAAATCTGTGGTTCCTTGAACATACAATGGTAAATGCCGTAATTTTTCTATCATTTCAGGGGTTACGGTGTCTCTGAACGAATATTTGGCTTAATCCAATCGTTTCTAACCAACCAAGTAATGAATGTCGTATTGAACGGACACGCTTCTAGATCATTTCACATTAAGAAGCAATTTTACCTTCCATCATCATGGCTGATGCTAACCTCCAGCAACGCAAATCTGTGGTTTCTTGGGCTCACGTTTTTCAATGACATGAAGTCGAATGATTATACTGAATCATTTACTCGTCTCTACTGCGAGGAATGTTAATCCTGCCATTCGTTAGTGCTTTGAATATTGCTGTCATATCTGGTCTGGTGCTTCTACTGTGCATCTCAAGATTTTTGACAAAATTCAAATGGTCTGTAATGTAATCAGTCCTGACCAAGTTCTTGACTTCAATCAATTTCTTACTGACGCGAGATGCTACCGTTGAACTAGCTAGACGCAAACGTATATTATAATAGTTTATTAAATTGCGTTTTAGTGGCATTATCGCCTTGTTTGAAGTGAATTGATTAAGAAAGACGAAAAACGATAAATGAATTTGGAAGGTCTAAAAAAAGCCATCGGGAAAGGGAAGCAAACATGGTTGATCTGCAACCTACATAAATATCACTTATTTGCGTTGAAAGACAGAAACGGTTGCGTTAACAAACGCAAGGAAATTAAGTTAAACACTATATATATATATATATATATATATATATATATATATATATATATAAAAGAAAAACAGACCATTAAACGTTCCATTATAATAATTTATTTCGCTAGAGCCCTTTTAAAACACGCCAGATCATCAGATAGCACTTCCGAAAGATGAAACGAAAATGAAAAAAAACAAAATGAAAAAATTTCGTTACATGTTTTGAATGATGATCCGGTATCCTTTAAAAGGGCTCTGAAGAAATAAATTATTATAATGGAACCTTAGTGGTCTGTTTTTCTTTAAAATATTAGCTCTGGATTTACATTGAGCTCTCAGGATTTCTTCCTCCTTGGGACTACCCATACGTATATTACCAAGTTTTTAAATTTTTATATATATATATTATATATATATATATATATATATATATATATATATATGCACTTTAAAATGTGAAACGTGAAAAATGGCATAGTAACATACCTTTTAAAAGATGCAGACGTAAAGCATAAAGGTTTAAAACAACGGTTTTCCCAGTCAGTAAAAGTGCCAGATGTGATGCACACTTGGGAGATAATGTCTCTTGCGATTAATAACTGATTAGGTAGAATTTTCCCGAAGTATGTTGCTCTTTCTTTCTGTGGTACACTGGTTGCCACCCAAGAATACAAAAACAGTCCGTCCTGCTATTTAACTCATAGATGGGTAGAAGAGATGGATTCATACCTTTCGCAAGGTATTTGCACGTAAGTTAATGTAACAAATCGAACTGAAACTCGTACCCGGCTGAATATGAAAAAGAAAATGAGATCCTAACTTCGAACGCTAATCCTACTTTACAATTCTCTTGGTAAATACTGTTGTGTCCCATTACAATCAAACATATTCAAAATATTCTTAAAAGTATTTAAAAGCCTAAAAATATATTAGATGAAAACTAGACACGCTAACAAGCCGATTTTATGAGTGGCTACTTAACAATAAACCATTTACAAGCACTGAATCAAATGATTGAAAGAAAAAGCAACCATTATCTTTATCTTTAGTTGACTAAGAAGAACACTCAAAAGTCATTAACTCACAAAAAATTAGGGTATTAACAAAAATTATGTAACAGTTATTGAGAATATATATAGTAGCAGTACAGCCATAATTGGACTACACAAAGACACAAGTTAAATAAGTATAGGAAAAAGCGAAATGAGATGGTACGTTTTCAATTAAACTATCTACCGGATACAACGAAAGCATCTTATGTATGCATTTTGGAAAGCTTTTCTGAAATAGCGTTTTCTGAATGTGTGGGCCGATATTAACCCTTAGGAGATGACAGGGCCGATCTATCGGTCGAATGACGAAGAAAACGACTGAACCGATCCGTTGGCCCAGCTGATCCATCGGCCCGATAATACAAACCACGAGATTAGCTGGCTAGTCTTCGTACCAGCCAATCAGATTGCTTCTCACATTTCTTGCACATCTGGACCTTTCAATATTGGTTTCTATAATAGTTTTTGTGACTTTACATCGATTTTTTCTGTTCCAATTAAGGTCATGGGAAAAGGGCCCCGTCTTCTTGGCACTGAAACTTCAAATGAAGCTCCGTCTCCAAAAGGTTAACCAAAGATCCCTACCAGAGGCAAAAAGTGTAAGACAGAGTGAAGAGTAATGATAAACGCGGCTGAAAAAAAAGTCATGGGATGTGAAATGAATCACTTTTTTATTCCATCCTTATCAGTGGCAGATAATCCCGTTCTTCCGTCATCAGTTAGAAAATTTCTCTTTGTAGATGATATAAATGTGTAGGGCTGAACCTCCAAACATTTAGATGACCAGAGCCTGGCAGATGATCAACGGGGAGGAATTTTATACCATTCAAGTTTATACCTCCAAAACTACTAATTTGGTTTTTGTATAATGATGGTGGAACGTAACTAGTTATACGTTAAACCATCAGCGTACAGACCCTGAACTTTCTCCTATCATGATAAATAGTTGTTCTCTAAAGAAGACTCCTTGAATTGGACGCCAATTGGGACTGAAGTTCACCCCAACCCCAAGTGGAACTCGATCCATCGCTAAAGATTCTGGAAACATGGTCGGTATTTTGTACCGCGCCAGTAAGTACCTGACCCCTCTTACCATGCTTTCTCGTGACAAGAACCAGATCAGACCAAAAATAGAGTACTGCTTGCAGGTATCAGCTGGAGCCAACCAGTCCACACTGTTTTGCTTTATTATTTCACCCGAAGCAAGGCAATAAAGTCACTAAGACGCAAGGGGGCTACTGAACGTGATAGAATACGAGAAATAAAAAATATTATTAAGAAGGGAGAACAATAACAGAACAGGAAATTAAGAAAGCAAAAGATAACGATTGACACTGCATTTAAATTCTTGAAAATCAAAGTTGACGGGAAAGCCAGAAGAGAGATCCACAGGCGAGATGATGTTTGTTTGTTTTGTTTTTGTTGTTGTTGTTATTTTTTTGTTTTTTTACAATAATATCCACGATGTATAAGGCTGAAGTGCCACTCGAGGTAAAGGGTGACAGAGTAAGATACAGCTTTATATTGGCATGTGGGTAAGATAATGGTTGACTCTAGACTTTGTAAAGGTTAAGATTGTAGTGATCGGGTAAATATTCTCTTGGGAATCGGTTTCACAAAGCAGCAGTTCGTAAGAAGCTGCTACTCGAGTAGAACTTACATCTCATCAGTGTAATAAAAGAAATGAGAGTTGTTCGCTAGAATGTGCATAGCATGGCGGGTCCTAGCCGTAAATGTGAAACTAAGTAATGTAGTTCGTCTGAACACTTTCCATAGAAATACCAATAGAGCGGTAAGAGACTTACGATGTATCGTCAGTGAGTAAGAGAGAAAGTGAGAACGCTAGAACAATTACGACTGAGTAGTGAGTTCGATCCTCACTGGGTGTCCCATACTTCGGCCTTGTGCCACATCTGAGCTATGCTTGGAAAATCACAAGAGAGAAAGTGAAAAAGGGAAAGTTCGAGAACAAACTGTTACCTGTCGCCATTGCAACTGTAAAATAACGAGACCAGTCGTGATAGAGTTCAAAAAAATTCTACGCGGCCTTGTGGGTGATGAATTATTTTCCAACCTCTTTCCCAGTGACGAAATTTCGCAAGCACCTCGCTACACTATCGCTGTTTCCATGACGAGCAAAATTCCTTAGTTCCGTCAGCCTGGATCTTCCCAGTTAGGACACGCCATGCTATGTGCGCATTAACGAATCATCCCAATTCCCTTTGTATTCCATTTGTAAGAAAGAAGTCCCATAACAATCGCAACATCAGATTTCCGCGAATTAGGTTTAACATTAGTTGAACCTAATTCTTTTTTACATATCCTCTTAAACTCTTACCCCCACTTCTATGTGCAACAAACTCAAACAGAAACCCTCTAGATTGAGTGGCTCATGGGAGAAAAAGAAATACAAAAGTAAAATGCTGATGACTTGCTAGATCAAAGAACGTGAATCTGATGCAAATGGAATCTGCAAATAATCTCTAGCTTTACGGCCATATCACGTTGAAACAACGGTTCCTGTACGGTTATTTAAAGCCATAAAATATTTTTAGACCGTGAGATTTCTTTATAGAGTTAATGATGGTTTAGGGATACAAGTCCTACTAATTAACCCATAGCTGGGGGAGAAGAGAAGGATTCATACTTTTCTCAAGAGTATTTGCGCGTAAGTGAATATAACGGACCCGACTGGAATTGGAACTCAGCTCACCGATTAAAAATTCCGAGCAATTAACACCACCCGCACATCCAAGCTTACAACATCTGATATTCCCAAGCTGTCACCCATCTAGGTACTCACCAGGCTCGACGTTGTTTACCTTCGGTGGTCGTACGTGAACTAGTGTTGCAATGTGATATGATCATAAGCCCTGTCTCATGAAAGGACATTACAGGATTAAGAATGAAAGAATATTATATAAAACGTTTCTATACATCAGAACTTCTTCAGACTAAAGTAATGCTTTTTGATGATGGAATTATATATTTCCAGAAAAGGGAGCGAGAGACATAAAAACTCAAGAGTCCGTTATAATGTATGCACTGACAAGAAATACTAAAGATGTTGGAACGCTGAAAATTAACATCTTTAAATTAATTTTTTTATACATGTCTGGGCATGTAGCCAAGCCGATTTCATTCAGTTTCCTCGCTCCAGATTCTATTTAGGTGTAATGAGAATTTGTAGCACCAATATTTACATGAGGAGAGATACAATGAAAATAAGTTTAAGCTCCGCCAATACCCTAATATTCAACGCAACGCGAGACAGAAGGCTCGTCAAATACTTCAAAATCAAAGAATAAACTCTTCCAGCAAACTCAGGAACTGAGATACATTATTCCACGTACGAACTCTATCCCAACTGCAATTGAAAAGAATGTATCTAAATTTATTCATATTATAAATATAAAATTGACTCCTTCCGAAACAATACTTCATTAATGGAAAAGAAAATAACATTAAGCGAAAACATGAACGAGGAATTTACGCTATCACCTGTAATGATTATTCAAGAAATACATAGGAGAAACCCCAAAGACTTTAAAAAACAGATTATGTGAACACAAAAGTGATCTTTTACAAAAAAAAAAACAAAAAAAAACATGTATTAGTCGCTAACCGTAATGAGTTTGACTATAATTTCGATTTAAAAATGCTACTTTATTTAAAAGAGAAAGCAATTTACAAAGAGGAACGTATATAGAAAGTGCTTTGATCACTCGATCATCCACGGTAAATTTGCGTCCAGGTTCTTACGACATATCACCTTTCTTAGCAGATTTTCTATTATCATAAATTAGGATAATTAATAATAAATGATAAACACAAACAAAAGCGCACGGAAACTTAATGCCCAGACACGTATTAAGATAAATAATTTAAAATTTAAAAATTTCAACGGTTCGACACCTTCAGCGTTTCTTAACATATATATTTATAATGGATAATTACGTTTTTATATATCTCCTGCCCGTTCTAAACATATAATTCTATCAAAAAAAGACATTAATTTGGTCCGATAAACTGTTTCTAGAGTTCAATGGTGAAGATTAGAAATGTTAAAACTAAGGAATGTAGTTCATCAGAATACTTTCCATGTCATGTTACTATAAATATATATTGTTAGTCCTTTTTTATATAAAAATGTATTGCTAGTATTTTTACTATGAAAAAAAAGTATTTTTATACTTTAATAGTGTTTTGTTTTTGTTTGAGGGTTCGTTATTTGCCCATAGCTGGGACCCTAACAGGTGCTACCACCCGGGTCAGAATCTACCTGCGAACAACAACAGTTAAGAGGTGGCTCCAGGTTCATCAAAACCTCAAATCTCCAAATCAGAAGCCTTGCTGCCGGATGTAATTTATCGTCAAACCCAGGACTTAAAATGCTTAAATAGACAGAATACACACACACAAACACACACACGCACGCACACGCACACATCATCACACACACACACACACACACACATATATATATATATATATATATTATATAATATATATAATTAGTCCGACAATTATTTTTAACACATTTTTATGTTCATACATTTTTTTATAGATACGAATATTTAAGTAAATGCATTTACTTAAATATTTGTATCTATATAAAAGAATGCATAAACATAAAAATGTCTTAAATATATATATATATATATATATATATATATATATATATATATATATATATATATATATTGTAAGTAAGAAAATAAAAATTAAAAATTAAAATCATTAGACACACTGGGTTGTAGATTAATATTCTTTCGTTTTTTTTATTATTATTCCATTTAGATTCCTCGACTAGTTTCGACCAAAATGGCCATCATCGGGAGGAGAAATATTTCTGCTTGCTGTTGGCAGTGAACTACAGAAATGAATGTCTTTTGTTGGAGAAAATGAACTTTTGTCTGTAGTTTTCATTTGTTTTTTTTTTTTTTATTTTTTCACATGAATCTTTTTAACATTCCTTGTGTTGGTCAAACAGTCTCTTTTAAGTTGTTATTTGAGATAAGAACTGGATAGATACATTTTATCCTGAATTCTCTGGTCAGTTTGACAGTTTTATTGGACCTGGTGAGGGATGTGTCTCTGTTTAGTGTTTGTGTGTGTGTTATTTGGTTCTTAGGGAGTGAGTGAGTATGATATGTGTAAGCGTGTGTATTGCTGTAGGTGTGTGTTATCATTTGGCTCATTAGGGAGTGAGTGAGTATGGTGTGTGTACATGTGTATAATCGTGTGGGTGAGTGTATAAGTGTGAGGCCTCCATTCCTCCGTAAGCATGTCTGTCTTGTGTGGGTGAGAAATGTGGGTAGGTTTTGATTTGTTGATTGTTACTATTATATATTGTTAAATTTAAATATATATATATATATATATATATATATATATATATATATATATATATATATATATATTAAGGAATGCGAGTTCGAATTCCAATCGAATCCATTACATTCACTTACGTGCTAATAACCTTGGGAAAGGTATGAATCCTCTTTTTCTCCCTCCAACTATGGGTAAATAGCATAACAAACTGGATTTTATAACCTTGGATGGCAACTGGTCTAGAAGTAGGAAAACTCTGAATTCAAAACCTGCGGAGGGTCGTTTGGGGACCTTGTGGCTCGTACTGCACCAGGTCACTGTATTCGGCCCTTCAAAAAATGTGGTTGGTTCTTCACAAACCCTTCACCACTCTAAACAAATCATATATGCTGGTGTCTGGGCTTTTGGTTCCTAGGAACTGAGCTTCTTGACGCTCATATGTCAAATACGACGGGAATACCACCACACACACACGCACACACACACACACACACACATATATATATATATATCACTTTAAACATTGTTTTTAGTGGATATTCATATTTCAGTAGGCGCTCCGTTTATTTATTAGACAGTGTATTCATTTATTTTTATCTAGCGACCCGCATGTTATATTTTCTAAAAAAAAAAAAAAAAGATTATTCTTGTATTTCAAGAACCTTTAATCTAAGTTAAATATTTATCCTACTGCTCAATCATAGAATTTGTTCCTGTTCGATTTTTAGGCACCAATCAGCCAAATTTGGGCAAAGTGAATCGATCGTTTGGGAATATACCGTCTCTTTCACGTATTCCAAAAGAAGTTCTGCCTGTCTATGCGATGTACTAATCGAGAATAAACTATCCATATATAGCACATTTATATCGATTTGTCATGCCTAACACAATTCTCGCATTGTTTTTTGTTTGTTTTTTTTGTTTTTTATCGATTGTGCTTTCCTAGGTTATAAACCCGGATACAGAAAAAAAGAGCAAACAAAATAAACGCGAGATGATTTATAGATGCGTACCATCACGTAACGATTAACAAGTTTGTTTTGAAGCGCGAGTCGCTGGCGTTCAATCCTTCCAGGCATCCTGCTATAATGGTGATTTTCTAAGCATAGTGTAGATGTGCCACAAGACCGAACGTATGGAGCACCAAGTGAGGATTGGACTCACTATTTAGTCGTAATTATTCTAGCATGACAATCTTGCTAACCTTTTCACCAAGCCGAGGTAACTAATAGATTCAGTAAGCGTAGCGTAGATGTGGCACAATGCCAAAAAAGTATGGGGCACCCAGTACAGATCGAACTCACTATTCACTCGTAATTGTTCTAGCGAGACAAGCTTGCTAACGTTTTCACCACGTCAACGTTCACAAATTATATTCTATGCATAGCGTAGATGTGGTATAAGTCTAAAATTATGGGGCGTTCAGTGGGGATCGGAGTCACTATTCACTCGTAATTGTTCTAGAGAGACTAGCTTTCTAATCATTACACCACATCGAGGTACCCAAAGTTGTTACGGTATATGAGGTAATGGATAGCGTGGAAAAAAAGGACATCTCAGAGACGTTAGTTGGTTCCAGTGAGAAAGCAAATGAAATAAAGAAATGTTTAACGTCTGTTTCAGTGAAATTTAAAAAGTTGTCAATTTAAAATATTTTCATTTGAACCCCTTTATTTAAATAATGACCAACATTAATATATACGGAGATTTTCTGAGCATAGCTTATATTCGGCACAAGACTGAAAGAGTGGCACACCCAGGGAAGATCGAACTCACGACTCAGTCGTAATTGTTTTAGAAAGACCTGCATCCATTACACCACATTTCGCTAACCTCCTATGAACTGTATTGAATTATCTGTAGCGCATTTTTTTTCGTTCTTATTTTACTGATGTTCATCTAAATACAAGATCGAATAGCCAATAGACGGTTACTGAATGAGGATTGTGTACGGTCGTACAAGGGAGGGGAAAGCGATGCATATTATGAGGGTATGCAGGATAGATAACAGTTGACCCTAGACTTGAAGAGGTTAATAGTGTACAGATGAGAAACATCCTCTCAAGTGTGTGGAAAAATGAAATAAAATCGATAAATAAAATAATAATAATTAATAATAAAAAAAACGGCATTTTCCCATCAAGCTTAGAAAAAAGGAACCGGAAGTATGATTACATCACTTGACTTCGAAAAACGCTGTTAGGTAGCGTTGTTAAAGTCTATAAAAAATATATTTTTCTTACATCACTCTCTTTCTCCTCTTTGCTCCAAGATGTACAATGACGTGGTAATTATGTTCCCGTTGACGAACGTTAGATTCCCCGGTCCACTGACAACTGAACTCGCTTTCAAATTTCCAATATCGTTCGGACGTGTCTTGTTGCCCTGCTCATTAAGTATAAATTGGCCGTTTCAACTCAGCGCAAAGCTGACTTGAGCTCGACCATTTTAATCATTGTTATCCCTACTTACCATAACTTTCTTCAGAACCAAACAGGAAGACGGACATACCCAATATACATTGAAAACTGTTTCA